CTAATGGCGCTCTATGGCATTCCGATGGAGGGCCTTGCGCCTATGAATCCCTGTTGACCCCTCTACTTGTTGAGATATTTGTGATTTCGTTGGGCATAATTCTGCTTTGTCCGCGGTAACTAGATTTAATAAATTTTGATTTCTGTATGCAATGAGAGTTAAAAACTGAATGCAATCCCACTCGCCCTGCTTTGCTTAAGGGAGGTCCAAATGGAGGCCCTGCTCTGTTGCCTTTATTTAGGTACGGATTCCACGATAGATTATTATGAAAAAGTGCATAATTTTTTCTCGAACAAGTGAAATACCGTGGGGTTTTTTTTTTGGTTTTCCGAAGAAAATAACTGGGTTAGTCTTCTTCGGGTTACCGCTCAACCCATTTTGACTGAACTATTTGGCGACTAAATTCAGCGCACTCTGTAAAAGTTTGGAGATCTTGCCTTCAAAGCTACCTCTGATAAAGATGCCACTGCCGGGGTAGGCCTGAAAATCGAAGCCCGTGAAAATCATTATGCAACGTTCTTTATTTATTCGCTATGATGGATGCAACCTACTACTGATGACAGACCACTCTCAAATATGGGCATCCTTCGATGGGTTATCCTAAGGTGGAAGTAACGATTCTGAATTATAGAACGCTTGCTATTTAGTGGAATGTGCTGTTATAAAAAGCCTATAGATTCAGGAAATACCTTTCAACCACCCCCTTGTGATGCATGGACCTTTAAATCTTCCATCTGATTCTATGATTGCTCACTACATGTATTTTATGGCATTCAAACAGAATTAAAAATAAAAGGAAGCATTTTTTACAAATGTAAGCAGGATGCGTAGATCATCGTATCTCCAAATTCTTTCTGCTTTTATACCAAAACAGCGATCCTTTGGTAATCCCGTAGCATTTTGATCCGAATAAAACGCAAGATTGTCTGTGCATATATCTGCATGTGGTTAATTTCAATGAAAAGTTTAGTTAATCTTTCCACTATTTTATGAGTCGTGAATTTTTTATATTTTCAACCTTTCTCGATAAACAAATTTGGCTTGATTTTGCAACTTTTCATAAGCAACTTCATTTACTCATGCATTCATTCACTTATTGGCGTCATTTCATGTATTTGTTCAAAATGAAATTAAGTAACACTACATATGTATGTACGTATTTACATATTAACGAACAGGTTGAATACATTTTTAAATAACTGCGTACTGAAATAACACACATCCTTGCATGTATGTACTTACTCGAGTGTTGCTCGAGTGTTGCGCTGAACGATTGCAACCTGGCGTTTTCTTGCCACTCAACAGACTGATCAGCTGCATGTATGTGCATGTACATGTGTATGTATACCCAGTGGGAAAACTCAATGTAATTTAATCGAAAAAATAATCAGTAAAACTTTCGAAAATGCGAGAAATCTAAGCGATTTAATATAGAATTTTTCGGGACTTTTTGGACACATTGGAATGCTGATTACATATAATTTTTATTTGTTTTTTTTTAATAATAAACAGTATTAGAATCTAGAACTCATAAGAAATACATTACAGTACAACACGCCTGGAATGCATTACTACTTTTCCCACTGGGTATATGTATGCCAAAAACACACATACATAGGTATCTCCAAAAGTTATGCACAAGTTTAAATTCTCCATATGTATATTGAAAGCTATGCATGTGTGCTTGTGTGAATGCTTATAGTGCTTACGCGTGTGCGTGTGCATAAATTTAATTTTGAAAAGTGTTTCGCGAAAGCAGGAAATCAGTAAGAATTTTTCGGCGCCAGCAGTTGCACTTCACGCGATTTCAAGTCTTAAACTTATTTGTACACATACATACATATATATGTATATATGAATGCATATGTATCTAGGTGTGCGTATGTGCACACCCGCACGTTGTTTGGTGTAGCACTTGCGTCAATATTTGCTTGTAATTTAGCAGCTTCCTTCAGCGAAAATCATCGAGTACGCCCGCACTGAAAGCTGCTCTGCAGATCAAATTAAAAGCAATTTCAGTGAAAAAGAAGCACATACATATGCGCATACATATGTATGTGTGTATGTTTCTCAGTAAATCGATTCAGCTCAAAAAGCTAATTAAGCCATTAAATTGAAAATGATATTGCATATATTGTATGTGCAGACCTATGTATATATGTCTGTATCTCCAACGAGAAATGCGGCCTTGTAATGCGTATGTCATCAGCTCGAAATTAATATTTTAATGGCTGTGACTGTAGCTTAAATATGCAGATTTGTCAAATGGTGTAATTATTTGTGGCTAGCCTGTAAAAGTCAAGAATATCCCGCAAAGCGCAATTAAATATATACATACATATCTCAAGTATGTTTGAGAAGTATATACATATGTATGTATGTATATACATTAGGGTGGATTACTGTCCTTAAACAAATTTATACTGTATTTTTCCCAGGAATTATATAATTTATTATATTTTAAAGCTAAAATATTTTGGCTAAATATAAAATTTTAAGTGAGCTGAACCCATTGAGCATTTAAAATATTTTTTCCATAAAATTACCTTGGTTGATGGAAGAGTATTAAGCTAAAAATTTTTAAAAATTTTATCAACGGAATCAAAATGTGTATGTAATGTGAATTTCGAAGGTAATTTTAGATCGGTCAGGCTCACTTAAATCTTAATACTAATATTGGCGGAAAAACTTCCCGTTTTGTTTGGCGGGTCATCCTAATTTAATAGAATCAAGTAGAAACTGTCGTGTATACTTGTAATATTGAAGCAGAGCAATAAATTTCAATTTCAGTGCCTTTTGCTTAATACTGTCGACGTCATGCTGTTCAATTCATTTGCGTTTATTCAACAGATTAGGAGAGTAAGAAACGAAAGGAAGGTAAACCAGATAACAAAGACACATTTAAATAAGATTAAGTAGGAAGGAGATTAACAAGAATTCATGCGCAGGCAAACATTCTGAGTCACATGAAACTTTTCATTGAATTACTAAAACTGAATGGTCGCCGCGAATAACGTTGTAAGCGACAATTTTCTTAGAACAAGCGTCCTTAAATTTAACGATATAATTGTACAAAGGAACATACATTTTACATTAATATTTTATACTTTAAGTGCAAGTTTATTGAATACTCCTGTACCGAAAAAGTGAAAAACCAAATCAAATGGGCTTATGTATGTGCGTCATTACACACATTTTCTTTTTTATTTATGCAAAATTGTAATCTTGTCGCTTACAACGTTATTCGCGGCGACCATTCATTTGTTTAAAGATTTCAAGCATAAAGACGCGATTCTTTTAGTTATATTACGAATACTCTACAGTATATGTATGCATGAACCAAAAATCGAAGGACCCAAAATACTTTAAGTTGGTCATGTCTCTAGAAGCAGTCATACGACTCCCGCGCACTGCTCTGTTTATTGCCAGAAAAAAATCATATACCTTACAAAAGAATTGTAATCAGCTATAAGCTGCTAAGCTTAACCCTTAAATGCGCGATTTTTTTTTTGTTGTTGTTTAAAAGTTATATGTTTTAATTAATAAACTATTTAGTTCACTAATAATAAGAATACGGGATAATAATACGAAATCACCTACCTGCAAAATTGTGAAAATTGAGGTAAACACTTACTCATATATTTTTTTTATATCATTTCACTTTGCGAAAATAACAACAAAATTTAATTCCTACAATGAATCTACTTTAGAAGCTCGTGCCATGCCAGCAAATTTTGTTTTTGATCTGGGTTAGTTAAGTTAGGATAAAAGAATAGTTCATTATTTAAATTGGTGGCATTCCTATTCCTTTATATGGCGGAGTAGTTTCTCTGGTAGTTCAGTGGTCGATATATTAATAAGATAGTCTGTGATGGCTCTCCTATTGCACGAGCTCTGAAGAGGGGAGGAGGGATCCATGTAATCCGGAATATCAACGCAGCAGAACGCGCTTCGAGGCTCTATGGAATTTTTTTTTCTATCAAAAAATTTTACAGTACCATTTTTATTAAAAAACTAAAAACTAAGTCCCCTATTATGAGTTGCATTCGATTTTCGACTGTAGTCGAAAGTGCTGAGCGAACGAATTTTCATTTGGTATTATGGCGCTCATTCGATGAAGAATAGCGCTATTGTGAATTTCGCTCGTTTAGGTTGTTCACAATAGTATATTTTTGACAGCTGAGATGCTTTGTTTACATATTAAGCAAACTAAAAGAAAAGAAAGCGTGTTTATTACAACGTTTTATGTAAATTTGTGTTAATTAAAATTAAGTAAAAAATAAAGCGAGCTGATAAGAACTTAGTGAAGATGAGTACAACGGAGTTATGGTTCGACGATTCCTCAGAGGATGAGAGTTTAGTGGAACTGGCCAGGAATAGAAAACGTTTAAGGGACGCTTCCAATCCCTTAGAAATGGATTCAACCGCGTAAGTCTGGCCTTTTGGATATATTTTCACATATTTATATAATATTTATAATTATTTGTCTACAAATTTATAAAAAACTTCCGACTGTCTAAAGAGGCGTTTGTGGACCTGCTGTCCGCTACAGAAGACCTGCGGCAGCAATGCACTCGAGCCAAATCTATTGCAAATATCTTAAAACTAGCAACAGTTCTGCGATTTTGTGCTCAGGGATCGTACCAACTGAGTATTGGGAATGAAAATATGCTTGGGCTTGCGCAGCCCACGGTGTCTGTGGTGATATCAGAAGTGCTTGATGTTTTGGAAAATTTCATTTGCCAAAGATGGATAAAATTCATCTACACAGGGGTTGAACTGCAACAAGCGAAAGCACATTTTTACAGCAAAAGCAGAATTCCAGGAATAATCGGCTGTGTTGATGGGACGCTCCCAAGAAGGAATTCCAGCATTTATATTACAACAGAAAAGGATTCTTCAGTATTAATGCTATGGTTGTAAGTATATATATTTTCGTACATACATGCTAAGAATCTCTAATTGTAGATGTGTGCACTTTTGTATTTTTTTAGGTTTGTGATCACACAATGAAAATAAGATACATAAATGCAAAAAATCCGGGAGCGACACATGATTCCATGGTTTTTCATATGTCATCATTGAAAGCACACTTAGAACAGCAACATCATAATGGTATTCGTAATACTTGGCTACTGGGTATGATCAAATATAAAACCTACATTTATTTCCTTTTTTTAAATTATTTTTATCCACGTTAGGTGATGCTGGTTACGCTCTAAAACCATACTTGATGACGCCGTTCAGAAATTCTGAGGAAGGATCTCCTCAAAGAACATACAACAAACAACATGCAAAAGCCAGAAATATTATAGAGCGAACAATCGGAGTTTTAAAAAATAGATTCAGATGTTTATTGCAGGCGAGAGCTCTTCATTACACTCCAAAGAAAGCTACACAAATAATAAATGTGTGCGCAGCTTTGCACAACATTTGTCAATTCTATAATGTAGAAATACCCGACGGCGAAGAGTTTTCAAATGAGCCTCACGACGATGATGCCGGAGTCGTTGAGATGGAATCAATTGAGAATTCAGAAGCAGAAGACATCAGAAATGAAATTTTAAGAACCTTGTAAATAACTGAAAAAGTATTAATAATGGTATTCCAGTCTCTTTTATTAAATTCATAAATATTATTGGTTTAAGATATGAAGGTAGATATGCACATTAAAAATTGAATAAAAAAATCACATAAATTCATGTTTTTAAAAAATCTACATAAAAGTTTTTACAGCCTTTCTCAATTCATATCACAGGCAAAAAATATCATTAATTCACTTACATATATTACTTAAAGATTAATAAAGCCTTCTTAATACTACTAAAAAAATTAACACTTGAATGCATTCGCTAAAATATAATTATAAGTTATGGTTTAGGCAACATTTTTTTTCTTCATTTCTAAAAGTGCAACCTTTAGTTGCAATTTTGCTTTCCGATCTTGCTGCTTTCTCATAACTTCACTTTTATAAATTTCTAATTTTTCTCTTTTCATTTGTAAGAGTTCTTTGGTTGAGTCTTTTTTTAAGTAGTACGTTCTTTTTGCATATTTTTCAGTTTCCCTAGCACTTTTTTATACCCGAGCGCACTTGTGCACAAGGGTATTATAACTTTGTTCACATAACGGTTGTTTGTAACAGGCAAAACGAATCGAGATAGATATAGACAAATGTATACATAAATGATCAGGATGAAAAGAGAAATCGATTAAGCGGTGACTGTCTGTCCGTCCGTCCGTCCGTCCGTCCGTCCGTCCGTCTGTCCGTCTGTGCACACGATAACTCGAGTAAAAATTGAGATATCTTAACGAAACTTGGTATGTGCACTTCTTTCGGGCGTAGGACGGATGGTATTGAAAGTGGGCAAAATCGGACAATAACCACGCCTACCTCCCATATAACGGTAGTTTTCAGAAATACAAAAACTGCGATATTTTAGTAACTACTGAAGATAATTCACTCAAAATTGATATTTATAATAAATTTTAGACGAAAAATAAGAATATTAACATTTTTTTGAAAATGGGCGTAGCCACGCCCACTTATGGTTACATGTGTATATCTTGGTAACCGCTGCATCAATTTATTCCAAACTTTGCACAGTTGTTGGCCTTAATACAGCATACTAAATGGCCGAAAATTTAAAAAATCGGATAATAACCACGCCCACTTCCCATATAACGGTAATTTCCAGAAATACGAAAACTGCGATAGTTTCGTAACTACTGAAGATAATTGACTCAAAATTGATATTTATAATAAATTCTAGACGAAATATAAGAATATTAAAATTTTTTTGAAAATGGGCGTAGCCACGCCCACTTATGGTTACATGGGTATATCTTGGTAACCGCTGCATCAATTTATTCCAAACTTTGCACAGTTGTTGGCCTTAATACAGCATACTAAATGGCCGAAAATTTTAAAAATTGGACAATAACCACGCCCACTTCCCATATAACGGTAATTTTCAGAAATACGAATACTGCGATATTTTAGTAACTACTGAAGATTATTCACCCAAAATTGATATTTACAATAAGTTTTAGACGAAAAATAAGAATATTATAAATTTTTGGAAAATGGGCGTAGCCACGCCCAGTTATGTTTACATGTGTATATCTTGGTAACCGCTGCACCAATTTCTTCCAAACTTGGCACAGTTGTTAACCTTGGTATAATATACGAAATGGCCGAAAATTTTTAAAATAGGACAATAATCCCATATAACGGTAATTTAGAGAAATACGAAATCTTCGATAAATCAGTAATTATTGAAGCTAATTTATTCAAAATTGATGCTTGCAACAATTCGTTACCAAGAAATACGTTTAGGATACAATTTTGAAAAATGGGCGTGGCACCGCCCACTTATGATCACATATATGTATCTCGGTAACCGTTCTACCAATTTGTACCAAACTCGGTGTGGTTATTGTACTTGCCACATAGAAGCAAAACGTTGAAACTTATTGAAATCGAACTAAAATTACGGCCGCTTTTCATATAACAGTAAATTTCAGATATGCTTGAAACTTCAATATTTCGAAATTTAAGGACGCCAATTTACTCAAAATGGATACACCTCGGTTTACCATGTAGCGGTAGCTTTCGGAAAGGTGAAAAACATATATTTAATACTTGCGCCGGGTATTTAATGTTCGGCTCCGCCCGAACTTAGACTTTTTTACTTGTTTAATTTCATTTATGTTCGAAATTACGTTTTCATAAAAAGCCTTCTGGGCATTTGTCTGGGCTTCCAACAACCTCAGTCTCTCCGTTTTGTGGCACCGTTTTTTTCTGGGGGTTCGTGTTGTATTTTCGCCAACTACATAGTTTCGGTCTTCATTGCTCGTTTCCAAATCGAATGGTGGCTGGTTTTCATCTGCTGGAGCCGGCTCAGGCGAATCTAGGCGCTGATTATCACTTATATCTAGGCCGAATTCCGCTCCTGGTGGATTCACACAGGCATCAAGCTCGAGTAATCCAGTTATGGCCTCCTCAATATTTGTATAAGATTGAAGCCTGTTCGGTCCTCCACCTGTTGCTCGGTATTCAGCCTTATTTTGTGACATTTTCTTTTTGGTCTTCGATTTCATGTCAGCCCACACCTGAAAACACAAAGCTGAAATTTTCTTATACAATGAAAAATTACTTTAATTCACCTTAATCCACTTTGCTGTCGTTCTAATTGGTGGTCCTAAACAATTGAGCTCCAGCGCAATATCTTCCCACTTTTTTGCCGCCTGAAGC